AGTGCGCGACGAACAAGCAATTTTACAAATCCGAGCGTGTGACGCCGCTCACGGATAGCCCAAAAGAAAGACACCTACCATAGACACCTACCACCTACCATAGAGACAGAAACTAGATGGCGACCCACGTCCCTACGTACGGCTACACAGCAGTATCTCCTAAGCAAGAGCACACCGGCAAGAGGCGGGCGCCGTGAGGAGAAGAAAAAGAGAGGATGTTGAAAACGAACAAATATATGTCGAGCGGGCGTTCCCGAAAGGAAAATCCACTCATATTGTAAGCACCACGTGATGAAACCCACGGGCAGCCAGCTATGGCCTGCGTCGAAGAAAATGACGGCAGGGAATGCTGAGAGAGAGCACGACGAACGAATGCTGCAGTGCAGAAATCCATGAGGGACGGGGAGAGACGACGACTGCTGTGGGACGTGGGCCGGCCGAAAACGAGCAAGAACCATATAATGTCTACAAGACTCACCTTGCTGGAAATTGTGGTGTACACGAGCGACTTCTTCTTCACTCGAGGCTCGCGATCCCCGGCCACACTCTCCTCCTCCAGGTCCGCCACGGCTCCAGAGATCTCCGACCGGAGGCGCTTGCCCGCGGTAGCCTCGCCCGCGGTAGTGGCGGGGGAAGACGGCGAGGCAGCCGCTGCCGCCGCAGCCGACGTGGATGCAGAGGAAGGGGAAGAGGGTGTGCTGCTGGCCCTTGCTGAAGGGGCGGAAGAGGGTGCTCCTTCTGCTGCTGAAGGTGCGGTCGCCAAGGTGGGAGGAGCCGGGAGAAGAACCGCGGTCGCCGATAGCCGGAGACCGCCGTGGTGGTCGCAGCGCCACAGGTACTGGAGGAGGGCCTGGGCTAGGGCCGCCTTCATGCGGGCGTCGCCCACGGCCACGGAGTCGGCATTCCCACGCGCGGGAAGGCCGACCGCCATCATGCCAGGCTTGTCGCTGGCTGAGCCGGCGTCGACCAAAGCGCCGAAGATCCGGCACAGGTCGTCTAGGGAGGCTGTTTCCAGCTGCCGTCCGTGCGGTAGCACGCCCAGGCGGGTCAGGTCCATGACCCGCTCACCGCCGTTGCCACTCTTCGGCGCGCAGAGGTCGTATAACTGCTCGATGACTGCCTCGGGTCCTGGCGCGTGGAGGGCATCTAGCTGGAAACTCGGCACCGTTGCCATGATGAACCGGGAAGAAGAAAGGCAAAAAAAAAAAAAAAAAAACACAGAAGAGAAACACAAACAGGGGAAAGGAACTAATCCCAGAGGGACGGACGGTCGCGGTCGCCGCTCGAGGAGAGCGGAGGGCGCGGACGGATGATGAGCGTCTCAAAAAGGAGACTCTCCTTTCCTCTGTTTTCCTGTCTTGCACAGGTTTGACAAAAGGAAGTGAGAGTGTGTTCTTCCTCCTCCTTTGTTCTGGATCTTTACGTCTGGAGAATTCTTAAATCGTGCCTCTTTCTTCATTTCCTGTTTTGAGAATCCATCAGTTTTTTTATTCTCCAGCGGATAGCCTCAGATGTTATCGATGATATGCCACATGCTATGCTACAATATACTACTTTGTAGATACCTGTCGTCATGCTCTAACCTTTCGTCGAATTGGTGGTGTCCATGATGCGCTGACCTCCACGCCCAAACAAGGACTACTTGTACATGGTCACCACTCAGCGGCCACTATCAGACGCTGCGGTCGACACACCACCGACTGCTCCTTCGAATTATCGGGTACAAGCGCAAGAAAGACACCTACCGGCAGCTCTCGTACGCCCAGACGCTGAAGAGGGTCGAATGCCAGAGCGTTGAAGCCACGATCCGACAACGACGCCTACTGTTCGCGGGAGCACTGGCAAGGCAGCCGGACGGGCGACTCCCGAAACGACTGATGCTCGGCGAGCTGGCGGGGGGGGAGAAGCCACGTAGGGGGGGACAGGAACAGAACTGGCCGAAGTGTGTGCTCGACGACCTGAAGGCATTCGGGGCCGACCACGGATCTACGAAAACCGACCCAAGTTGTCTCGGAATTCCCGTACCGAAAAGACACGGCACCGAAGTCAAGGTGGACGGAAGCCGCGAAGGTGGAGGGGGGAGTACCCTGGCATGCGGCGGTGCTGCAGGGAGCTGAGAGGTTCATGACCTCCTGGCACGAAAAGGAAGAAGAGGCCAGCCGACAACGAGCGCTCAAACGAAACCACAAGCCAACAACCAATGGGGCGGGAGGGGGGCAGGAGACGGACGAGACGGCGAGGGAAGAAAGCAAACGAGAAGAGACGGACTGAGTGGCACGACACGTGCCGGATTGAATTTCTTTTCGCCAATTCCCCCCCCCCCCAACGCTGCACCATTGCACCAACCCCCCAGTAGTAGTGATTTCGTACCATTACAATGTATCGCTGGTTGGTGGCCATGTTTGCGTGTTTGCTTGTTCGTTAGTGGTCTCTCCACCGTGTGCCTTGTTCTGCCTCATACTTCCTGTCATTTTCGGCCTGGTCCCTCTTTGTCCTCGCCCTTCTTCATTTTATTTTCATTTATTTTCTCTTCTCCCTACGGTTTCCATTTTTATTTTTTTCTCCTTTTTTTTCTCTTTTTCTTTTTTTGCTCTCTTTTTTTCTCTCTTTTTCTGTGCCAGATGGCCTTGTCTCTACTTGCGTTGTGAAGTACCAAGATTGAACCAAGGGGGTGTACCTCTTTCTCTCCGGCCCATGATAGATAGTGACTGCTAGTCTCAGTTGATACCTCGCATAGCGCGAAGAGGGAGCGGAGGATCCCAGAATATCTGTCGTTGATTTCTATTGACTTGCGGACCCCTCGGGGCCAGTTTATTTGAGTGTACCTTTTTAGGGTAAGTTAACCTGTGACTACGGGAATCGACCGCGTCGAGTGTTGGATCAGTACGGACGTAATTTACAATTTACGAAGGTACTGGGTAGAGAGAGATCGGAACGGTTTTTTAATGTGAAGACAACAACAACAACAACAAGAGACCATAATCCGTGTAGACATTAACAGCACGATCAAGTCCACGCCAACCTACTAGTAGCACCTATCCCCGACGGTGAGTTTACCCCACAGCGACCGCTGGTCTTTCGGTTAAAGCAGGCAAATAGGGTCCACACTGGGACGCAAGTGCAGCAAGACTTTTCGGCATCAACCATTTCATTGCCTTCGACAAAGTCAGCAGGTCGACATGCGTACAACGACAAATATGCGCGCGGTGTGTGGGACCACAGCGCCGTGTGGCTCTGTGCTACGTTGCTCGCCCGCCACCGAAAATCCGTGATTGCTGTGCAGTTCGAGTGCTCATTGCGTTGCACGATCATGTGCCGAGTCCCTTCATTCGTGTCTATGTTTGGCGTGTCCACGCTGAGGGTCAGGCGAGGAAGAGACAATATAGAATACCCTTTCTTTCGTTTGCGAACGAATATCTTACGGGGAACGAACATGGCCTGATCGACTGTACCCCAATTGCCCGACACACGCACCTTAACCCTAAATCTCAAGGTGTGCAGCAGTAAAACCATCCCTCGCTTTCGTCCAGCAGTCGCGTTGCCTGACCGAGGAGGTGAGTGGGGTCCACACCAATTCCACCAGCTAGAAATTAGAATGTACTGCTGCTGTCGCCAGCAGCTTTGCACCCCGGGCAAATCGATTGCTATTGCTCTGATGATGTCAGCTCTCCCAGCAGTTTTTGCAGTCTGTTAGTGACTCTTCCTATCTAACGGCTTTAACGCCCTCTGATTGGTCCGGCGTTGGTTCCTAGCCTTGACCCTCTCCAGCGCCCTCTCGCCGTTCCGCATTCCGAGAACGCGGCGCAGCCGCGTTCTCGACCAGTTCGCGGCCGCTAGGCCGTGCTTTGGCCGTGGGTGAGGGTTAGGGTTAGGGTTAGGGTTAGGGTAGATGTGGGGTTTACAGACATTCGGGACTGTAGTAGTGTGGCGGCCATGATCAGATCTACGATTCCCCTGCCAGGATCTCCGTTTCTTCGTTCCATGGATGGATCCGTCCTCTTTTTTACCGGCACCGTTCTTGTGTGGTCTGTGGTTTGTCTCTGCCGCACTGTGCTGCTGGCGCTCTTGCTCTACCGGGGCTGCTGCTGCTACTGCTGCTGCCACTTGGTTCGAGCCATCGGGCCGTGCAATGACAGCGGGGTCGATAGGCCTTGCAGCAAAACGCGCCTATTGCGAATCTCTTCCTACAACCAATCTCCAGCAGATTTCCAGCAGAAAAATTAATTCGACTCTGTTTTTTCGTACCACGCACAACACTTGATGGAATCAATCCACACGTGTGCATATATAATGATAATCGTACAAATGTGTCTGCATGTGCGTGTCTGCATGTGCGTGTGTCTTCCTTGTTATTTAGCACCGACAGCGCACACCGGTTGAACAAAATGTGTGCGTGTGCGTGTGTTCCTGCCGACTTTCGGCCACCTTCCTCCAGTCACACCTCCGACCGAACTTTAGGCCATTGGCGGGCAGCAGTAGAAACCTCTCGGAGCGGGTCTGGGACGCCCTACGGATGAAGGTGGGTGGCCGTCGATTGTATTGGAAGGCCGTGTACAGCAGCACCCCCGGCACATAAACACGCCGAGACGAACCACACTGATCTGGTTGCATGATGTTCGCCCGGGTGAAGCCCTCTAAGTTCCTACAGCAGATCATGTATTAATCTATATACTCACATGATGGTCGTCGTGACGTGATACATTTCTTGTTATTAGTATGGGAAAAAAAAAAAATGGCTCGATTTTTGTATTTCTACAGCAGTATGGACCAGAGGCGCCGACTGTACATAGAAGTCGTACGAGTGTCGACTTAGTTGTGCTGTCACAGCATCTTCCACGCACTTCTGCCAGTGCTGGTTTGTTGATTGGAGTCTTGTAGGTCGAGATACAGTCGTGAGATGCTCGGGTTGTGGAGGCAAAAGTGAACCAGAGCAAACAATTGCATGCATTGTAGCTCGAATACTCTGCTGTGTTTTTGCTACAGCAGTATGGACTAGACGCCGAACATCGTCCGCGTACTACGGCAACGACCTAATTGGATGGGATACTTCCTGTCACGGCGAACCATAGTACAATGCGATTCAAACATCCGTTCGTGTGTCGTGCGGCTGCCACATGTGTGGACGACAGGTACACGTATCTAGAGCTCTCGCCATGTTGTCGTTACCGCGCAGGAGGACCCCTCGGAGATCTTCCACATGGTGCTACAACGACAGCAGTACTACTGTACATAGATGTCGTAGGAGAGTGGAGTTATGCTGTCACGGCATCTTCCACGCACTCTCCTACCGGTGCTTGCGTCGAATGGAGTCTTGTAGGCCGAAATACAAGAGTGGGTTGGGTTCCCGGGTTGTGGAAGCAAACCTGCCTGCAACAACAGAGGATGCGGTGTTCTACTTACTACGGGGTATCCCGCTCAACTTTTTTTTTTTTGCGACGTGTGGCAACGTGTGGTTGCATTTTTCTTTGCCACTGCCGAAGACCGCTGGATCTTTACGCAGCCCATCTTTCGCATTATCATAATACACC